GTAGTTCACGGGTCGGACCGAGGCGAGGGACTGCGGAGGACGGAGCCTACGGCTCCCGTGATGCCCTGCGGCCGCTTGGCCTGGTGCCTCACGGGAATTGTAGTTCTCTTTCGAAAACGCCCATTCTGGAAGGCTGATGGGAGCGTCTTCGTGAGTCGTTGGAGCCCATCCTGAAGTCAGCAGTAGCAAGGAAGAGCATATTTAGGGACTAGCTGTGGAAGAAGGGAAGGAAGAATAAAAGAGGGAGAAAGGACGAGAGGAGAGGCTCCTGTCATGCTCTGCTAGGCGAGCGAGCTTTCGGGCGGCGGTGCTCTGAAAAGTGATCTGTTGTTCGTCTCTAATGGAGAGAGCAGTGACTGTCCGTGTGGGGTGGAAGGGAAGGGCGAAGCACGCAGACCAGGCCTCGGCCCGGGCCTGCAGGGGCCGCCGACTCCCTCCACGAGGCCAAAGAAACTTTGTGGAGCGTGCGCATGGGCTGAGCGTTGACTGGACGGGCTGGGGCAGGAGGCACGGAGCTCTCACCGGCCACCCTCCTCCCGCCCCCACAGACACCTCAGCTCTAGCCTGGCTCATCCTGGCTCGTACACGTGGGCTGCCCTGCCGAAATCCAGAAAAGAATGAACTGGGGGGCGGGGGGAGCGGATCCGAGAAAAGATAAGTGTGCATAATTTTGCACCTTAGACCCTAAACTTGAAGGCTGAGTTGACTTCTGCCTTTGAAGTCGGTCGAACGTATTTTCCTTCTTTCTTTTGCTTCGTGGTTTCTCGAGACAACATCCTGCCTGTCTAGAGCGGCTTGATTGTACACGTGTAATTCACACCCAGGCTCTGGACTCAGGAAATCTGGATGCATACAAGTTGTATTTAATAGAATGCTTTTCTGGAAAGCATCCTTGCGCTTCCTGGATCCCTTTGCTCCTAGCCCACTGCTTAGGCCCGCACCGGCGACGAGCGACGAGCAGCAGGGGGCACTAGGCAGAGTAGGAAGCCAGCCTTGGGGGCAGGCAGCGGTCGTAAGTCAGCCCGGCGGCGAGAGCGGGAAGCGCGCAGACGTCGGTGCCGCGGCCAGCGTGGCGCGCGCCGCCTCCCCAGCGCCCGCTGCCGGGCGAGCTTCGCAGCGCACGCTCACCGGGGCTGAGTCGTTCGCGGGCAACTTGCGACCGCTGGATGCAGCTCATCTGCTTGAGTTCTACCTAGGGGGGATCTTGCAGTACGCTTAGTCCATCTGATTCCTAAGATGTTAACACTGTTCCTCTCGCTGTTTTTTCTTTCTTTTTTTATTCATCAAAAGTTGTGGCTTTCAGGATTGCCGAAAAAATGTGGTAAGCTTATGTTTCATGAAGGAAGCAGGTTATGGACATTGAGAAAGAGGTCAGTCTGGACTAGAGTACTGAGGTATTAAGAATAATGCAAGTGTTTTGTTCTCTCTCACTATGTTTTTATTCTCTCTAGTTCATTTTTTTCACATGAATTGTGTTTTATTGTTTGTTTTTCTATTCCCATTATTTCTATCCCCAAACGTTTGTCCCCATAGTCCCTGCCTCTGGTAGCTGGCTAGCAGTGCAAACTAGACAGCTTTGATTTAGACCATCTTAAGGGCTTCTCCGTCTCTACCGCTGGCCTCCTTTCTCTCGTTTCTCATGGTCCTTTGTCTTGCCTGTGAGTAATTTTTAGCTTACCTCTCCATTATCTGAAACTCAAGGAGGAAATGAGAATCAGGCAGTTAATGAAAAACAGCTTTGTTGTAACCTTTATTATTATAAGTGAAGTGGAGGTGGGCGAGACTTGTCCTATATGAAAGCATATTATAAAGCCATAAAATTAAATCAGTGTGGTACTGAGCTATGCACAGACAATGAAGCAGAGAATACAGAAGCAATCTCATGTAGGTATGGGAATTTCAGACATGGGGAAAATGACATGTCCAGACAGTGGGGCAAGACAACGAACTAATTATTCATTTGAAAACAAATTATTGAGTCTACCTCACACCATTTGCAAAACTGATTTCCACATGCATCAAAAGGTAAGCTTTTAAAGAGCTCTGGAGAATTGTTTAATTATGAGAGAATGTGGGGGTAGGAAAGAGCTTTTTAAAGTTCTTTAGAAAAGCTCAAAGGTCATAAGAAAAATATTTGACTCTGTCAAGACTGACAGCTCTATTCAATAAAACACAAATGACATGTTGGCAGATCTTGGAACCTGTATGACAAAACACCAATATCCAAATTATATAAGCTTAAAGTCGCCAAGACAAAGTGAAACAACATTATAGAAAGAGGAGAGGAAATGAAAAACTGATTCAGGGACCAGCAGTTAGCTTAATGGCTATCTCGCTGGACTCCCATGTAGTCGACTGCGGTTCGAGTCCCAGACCTGGTGGCTTAAACTCACACCAGGCGTGTGTGTGTGCGTGCCCAAGATCCCGAGAGGAGAATGGAGGAGAAGGGGCTGCAGCGTGGCCATCCCCTCTGGGGGGTGATTTCTCGCTTTCTCTCTCTCTCTGTCTGTCTGGCGAGCACACGCATCCTATACCAAAAAAAACAAAAACAAAAACAAACAAAACAAACCTCTCCCAAAAAAAGAATTATAAGTGAAGTGGAGGTGGGCGAGACTTGTCCTATATGAAAGCATATTATAAAGCCATAAAATTAAATCAGTGTGGTACTGAGCTATGCACAGACAATGAAGCAGAGAATACAGAAGCAATCTCATGTAGGTATGGGAATTTCAGACATGGGGAAAATGACATGTCCAGACAGTGGGGCAAGACAACGAACTAATTATTCATTTGAAAACAAATTATTGAGTCTACCTCACACCATTTGCAAAACTGATTTCCACATGCATCAAAAGGTAAGCTTTTAAAGAGCTCTGGAGAATTGTTTAATTATGAGAGAATGTGGGGGTAGGAAAGAGCTTTTTAAAGTTCTTTAGAAAAGCTCAAAGGTCATAAGAAAAATATTTGACTCTGTCAAGACTGACAGCTCTATTCAATAAAACACAAATGACATGTTGGCAGATCTTGGAACCTGTATGACAAAACACCAATATCCAAATTATATAAGCTTAAAGTCGCCAAGACAAAGTGAAACAACATTATAGAAAGAGGAGAGGAAATGAAAAACTGATTCAGGGACCAGCAGTTAGCTTAATGGCTATCTCGCTGGACTCCCATGTAGTCGACTGCGGTTCGAGTCCCAGACCTGGTGGCTTAAACTCACACCAGGCGTGTGTGTGTGCGTGCCCAAGATCCCGAGAGGAGAATGGAGGAGAAGGGGCTGCAGCGTGGCCATCCCCTCTGGGGGGTGATTTCTCGCTTTCTCTCTCTCTCTGTCTGTCTGGCGAGCACACGCATCCTATACCAAAAAAAACAAAAACAAAAACAAACAAAACAAACCTCTCCCAAAAAAAGAAAAAAAAAAAAACTGATTCAGAAAGGAGGAAATACAAATGATAAAAACAAGCCTGAAAACATGCTGCAACTCAGTAACTAGGGAAGTGCAAAAAGTAATATATTTTTCTCATAAAATTGGCAGAATATTTAAGGACTTAAAAATTCAATCTTTATGTTCATTAACAAAAAAAAATAGTTAAATAAGCTATGGTATAGTCAATGTTGGGAATACTGTAAGAGCAGGAGAAGAGAGACAAAAATGTTCATGGTCATGTAAATATTAAGTGAAGAGCTCAAGTTGTAGAATAATATGTGCTGGATTATAGCTTATATGCTTTTAAAACTGTGTTTCATGTGTATTTGAATGTACAGAGAAAAAATCTGGGCAGTCTACGTCAAAATGAGAAAAGGAGGTCACTGCTGGTGAGTACTTACATTCGCATTGTGAAATAGCTTAGTACATTCTTGCATATTGCAGATAACCTGAAAACCACAGAATGAAAGATGGAAGAAAGTAGAAACTGGTAGCAAAACTACCAGCCAGAGGTACAAGCCTTTACTATTTAGGGATGTTTTTTTCCCAGACAGATCAAAGCATTTGTAATTAGGTTGTAAGCATTTCTGCATCATTAAATACTCTTTGGAAACATTCTGTTTATGTGTCTATGTGTGTGGCTTTTTTAGACAAGATCTCGCTGTGTCCTTCTGTCTCAGCCTCCCAAATAGCTAGGACAGTAGGCATGAGCCACCATGCCTGGCTTTTAGGGTGGGCTGGGTATCAGATTTTGAGTCTCCCATGGGCCTCAGACTGCTGACAGTAGCATCCAGGATAACACCTCATTCAAGCTAGAAGCATTTTTTTAAGTTATTTATTTAATTTCATTTATTACTGTTATTTTAACTTGCTGTAGGACATGTGCACTTACCAGAGAGATACAGAAGAAGAGGTAAAGTGAGAAAGCAAGCTGCCAGGTCTGGGACTCAAACCTGGTTGGCCATATGGGAGTCCAGCACCTTAACAACCATGCCACCTGTTGGTCCAAGCTAGAAACATTTTAATGGCTGTGTAGTATCCCTTCATATGACATTACCAATTTTAAGTTCATTACATCATCTACAAAAAGCACCGGGGGATTTTTTTTTTTAGTTACCAGAAGGCTTATGGACTCACCTAGGGTCAGGAGGAAAGTACCCAGCAATGGAGCATGGTCATGCTGCAGCCCCTTCTCCATTTCTCCATCAATTGGAATTCTGGGTATGCATTCACATGGGCCTAGAGTATTTTTCAAGCCAGTAGGATGGTGCTTAGAACCACATCTGGCCATATAGAATCTAATTCCCTGAACCACTAGGCAGCAGGACCAGCCCAAGGAAAATACTTTCAAATGAAGACTCATATTATGCTCAAGGCTTTAACATGTTTTTCTTGGAAGACATATATTAGAATCATGTAGGAAGATTACACAAAATACAATTGTTGGAGGATTTCACTATGGCCCACAGTCAACCCAGGTATATTATGGATGGGAGAATTAACTGCAAACATAATAAGCATTTTTTTAAAAAAAGGAACTATTGGGGACTGAGTCCACCATGAGAGCTGAGATCTAGTGATTTCAGGGATAAGAGCAATAAAAATGTTCTGAGAATTTATCCTGGTAGAGCTGCTGGAGAAAAACGCAACGCCAAAGAGTTTGCAGACCACATCCTCCTGTGTGCCTCTGATCACTCAGATTGATCTTCTAGAAATGAGGAAGGAATGAATAACCCAATAGATGACTAGAAATCACCACAGAGGCACAAGAAATACGTGAAGCCAAGAAAATACCTCTCCCAAAAGGGAAAATAATAACTCCTTTTCAACCACAGAAGTACAATGGAACTCATGGAAATGTCTGATAAAGAATTTAGAATGTTCATAGCGACAAAGCTAACAGAGATGCAAGAGAAGAGAGACAATGAACACCAGAAGAAAAAAGCCGATGAGTTCCAGGAGGTGAGGAAGTTCTTACGAGAGCTGAAAGAGGAAATACGCACCATAAGAAAGAGTCAAATGGAACTGTTGGAGGTGAAGGCTATAATACAGAAAGTCAAAACCTCCCTTGAAAGTATTCAAAGCAGACTACTAGGTCATACAGAAAGTTGAATCTCAAATGTAGAAGACAGAATCGTAGGAC